ATATACAGTTATGCTACAAATCTACAACTCCCCGGTGTTTGGCTACACGTGCTGTCCTTATCTATAAAGTCATGAGTATTCAGGTATGTAGGAGTGTCAAAATCGTATCATACGCGATGATGACCAGCTAGTACACACTGTATTATGATTTCATTAACCAGTATTAAAAAGATAAATATAACATCCCCGCCCACAATTTAGAAATTTCTAAAAATTTCTTACTGGTAAATAAAATCTGTATATATAAAAATAAGGAATAATAATTAAAAAAAAATCTGAAACAATCTATATGCAAATAAATTGTATTTTAATATACACACATTAAAAAAAAACCCAAAAGTTCTCATTAAAATACTATGTTTTAAATGTAGTAACTGCGAAATTTGGTAATCAAAAATAAAAAACAAAAAAAAAATATAAAAGAATTAGAATAAAATGTTTCTTTTTCTTCGCTAAAATATGCAGTAAAAAAAAAGTATCACGTCAAAATGTATATGAAAACAGAAAACAATAAAACATTTTTCAATTAGAATCAATGATCATGGTTTAAACATAATGACCAGTGTAATTAACTTGCAGTTTTATTTTCAATTCTTGAAACAGAAATTCTGTTTATCTAATTTGTCAAAATGACAAGTGTGCATAAATTTTATGGTTACAAATCAACAAATCTAACCACCAAAGCTCATTAGAACTCATTATACAAGAAACCACAACACCATTAATATCTCTCTGTGAATATCCAGACAGAGATGTTCGATACCAGAGGTCGTAAAATCTTGACCATTAAACTTCCACTTGTTTATCTAACGGATACTTCCAAGAGCACGACAGATTACAACTGGCAACTTTGCTCAAGTGAACACTTGCGATGCATAAAAATGTAGCTTTAGAATAAACATACATGTTTCAAAGTGATGACACTAGCAGAGACCCGTGACTCTTAATACATTTCAAATAATAATAACTAGTGTATCTCACACACTCACAGAATTATCCATTAATCCCCCGCCGAGGATTAAAGATTCTTACAACATTCAATCAAAATAGATATTAATATATGAAAACATAGGTTATTTCTAGCATAACATCTTTTGCGCTACTACATCTGTTGTTCAACGTTTAAACACTTAACAAAATCCTGGCCACCAATTTTTGGCCCGTCTAACAAAATCGCGGCCACCAATTTTTAGCCCCTCTAACACTTTATACCTCTTCTATCATTTGATTTCATCCAATATTCTTAATACAATTAGACACTCAAATAGAAAAAAAAATACTTTTACAAATAACCTTATAAGCACGATTTCAGTATTAACAACACCAAATATAGTACTTCTAAATGCAGTCACGTGTAGCCCTCTATAGAAGAATACAAAAAATTCAATATAAGATCAAAAATAACAAACAAATGAAGTAAATGTCACTAACAGTTCAATGTAAATCAATTAACACAAATGATATCAACAAAATGTCAAAGTAATTTAATAATGTCACAAAAATATTCTTCCACCGTCATCTGTGGTATCCGTGGTTTGGTATTAATTTAAGGTACATCTATAGAGAGTGGCGAGACAATTTTCACACACTCAATTTCAGAATCTTGTGGCGAGGCAATTCTCACACACAAGAATAAACTTTTCATCTTGACTAGCTGTGGCGAGGCAATCCTCACACACAAGTATAAACTTTTCATCTTGATTAGCTGTGGCGAGGCAATTCTCACACACGAATCTGTATAAAACGTCTAAAACAATGTTGATTGGTTGTGGCGAAACAATTTTCAAACACAAAAATAAACTCACAGTATCATTGGAGTTGGTCTATTTTTAACTACCTTCTTTGCTTTAGGGGATAAACTGGACTCATATAGAATTTTGTGCTGGTTCGCCGACAATTTGTTCAAGATATTTTAATAGATTGTTATCGATTTTCCTTGCTGAAACACGTTTGATTTTATGATATCGATTTTCGTCTGATGATATTGATTCTGTTCCTAATTCGGAATCTAAATTAACAAAGTCATTAAATTTTGTGGGTGGCTTTTTATTTCTAGTTGACTGACGCACAAGGACTTGTTCAGATAATGACGAACTTGAAGAATCGACCGTGGTATTAGAACTTTGGCTTTCAATTACATGTTGCAAATACGGTTGTGGTTGCGGGGCACGAATATTTGCTATTTTTAATTTATTTCTGTGTACAGGCCTTCGAAATCTTCGCTTTATTTCAGGATCTCTAATTTTTATTAAATAAGGACTTGGTATATTATCAACAATAAAAGGTCCAGTATATTTAGCTTGTAATTTTCGTCCCTGCCCAGTAGGCTCGTCGTGCAAGTACACATAGTCTCCAACTGACAATTCTAGAGGTGATGTTGTTTTATAAACTCTTTCAACCATTTTATATAGCATTTGCCTTTTCAACGTTTATTTGGACTTCTTTTCTTATTGTGTTCAATTTTTGTTGCATTTGTTTAAGGTAAACGTGTATATCTATTGGAATATCTCTTAAATCTATATCATGAGGATTTGAAAGCTGAAATTGGGGTCTATTACCATATACCACTTCAAACGGCGAGTATTGTGTAGCTGCATTTGTACAGAAATTCATTGAAAATATTACAGCTGGTAAAATATCATTCCAAGGTCGACCTTTCCTTATATATGGATTCATTCGTTCTTCTGATGTTCGATGTGAACGTTCACATGTACCTAGACAATGATGCGCAAAACTTGGTGTAAACTCTTGGCAAACTTCCAACATTTTACATAGTTCTTTTGTACCTTTTGAAATAAATTCGGACCCTTGGTCACTCAATAAAGTATGGCAAACACCATAAGACGAAAATAATTTAAAAAGTGCATGACACACAGACAGAGCATCACAATTATGTAAAGGTACAGAAAATACAAGTTTATTAAACATGTCAACAGCCGTGAATATATGTGAATGTCCTGCCGATGAAAGTGGTAAAGGCCCACATAAGTCTACTTCCCATACCTTAAACGGTGCTGATGGTGTCGGGAATGAAATTATACCTGCTTTAGTGTGTACACTTGAGGTTTTACGTATTTGGCATTCGTGACATGTTCTGACATATTCTGATACTATTGTAGATAACCTCGAAAAATAATAATGTTCACGTACTCTATCGATTGTATTTTTTATTCCAGAATGACCTCCGAGAGGTGAATCATGACACATGTGTAACACTAAATTTCTCATTAATCTTGGAACCACAAGTTGAAATTGTCTAAATTACTTGCTCTACGGGATTTCTTCTTTACGGAGCTATGAAATAATACACCATTAATTAAAAGATAATCAGCCGCTTGTAATGATAATTTCCTGGCTTCTTTCTGTAAATCAGGAAGTTTATTTTCTTCCAAGTAAATAATCATAGGTAATAAATCAAGATCTTTCATTTGCAAATCTTTAAATTTTTGGGGTGTTAAATCACTTTTTTTTTAAATTTCAAGTTCTGATAACGTATTGTCATGATTTTGATTATTCATAATATTTTGAGTAGGTTTATCGAAATTATTGTCACTTTACGTATCATACATTGTGGAAATATCAAAAATGTCTAGTTTGTCACTGCACTGGTCAATTGTTTTATCATATAAAGAGTCATTGTTAAATTGGGTAACATTTACGGTTTCATACTTTTTGTTAAGTTTAGTTTTCTTCTTTTTGTATGCTGTTTCCTCAACATCGTCTTATCAGCATCATAAACACATTCAGAGAAAATATCTATATTATTTACATTATTTACATTTATGACCGTTGCGGATTCGGTTTCAGAATTATGAAGAAAGTCAGCTAAATTTCAACCAGACGGCAATTTGATTTGTCCAGTTCGTTCTGTAACATAAGGAAAGAATGGATCGTCTCCATCTGGACTGATGACGGGTTCATCATTCTGTCTTGTACATCGGGACAATGCATCTGCTACTTGCATTTGTTCGGCTGGTTTATATTGCAGGTCGAAATTGAATTGTTGTAAAATAGCCATCCATCGTTCATAAATTGCACCCTTGAATTGTTTTTGAAAAATAGGTCTCAGAGCTTGATGGTCACATTCAACAACAAACTTATTTCCACGTTAATAATCAGCGCAGTCTAGTATACTAACTACCATGCCCAAAAGTTCGAGTTTTGTAGGTCCATAGGACTGTTGCCATCTACTTAAAGATTTTGAACCAAATCGTATAACTCGTGGTTGTTCTTCGCCGTTTACATTAGGATGTATTTGATATAACATGTAACCAATTCCACGCGAAGATGTGTCTACAGCAAGTCTAAATGTCAAATCATAATTGGGAAATGCTAATATTTTCGAGTTCAGTAACGCATGCCCCGGTCCTCCACCATGATAGATCCGTGTTTTTACTCGCTTGGCATGTAATATTAAAAACTATATTTCGGTTCTAATTCTATATTTTATCAACTACATATATACAGTTATGCTACAAATCTACAAATCCCCGGTGTTTGCCTACACGTGCTGTCCTTATCTATAAAGTCATGAATATTCAATAGGTATGTAAGCGTGTCAAAATCGTATCATACGCGATAATGACCAGCCAGTAAACACTGTATTATGATTTTATTAACCAGTATTAAAAAGATAAATATAACAACATAGTGTACCACAAGCGCAAACGCTAGAAATTTATAACGTAATGTTTCCAGATTATTTCTTAATATTATTAAGTCACACAATACTGAGATTCAAACTGGAGGACGGAGTCACGGTTATTTTTAGATCAAAATTACTTTTAAAAGAACCTACTCTATTGTCTTGATGGTAATTGTCAATGTCCAATTATTGTATACAATGAATACCAGTTAAATTAAATATGTATATATATATATATCGCGGTGGTATCAGAAGAGAAAGCCTATTTTTTGTCAAATAAAAAGGAAAAAAGAAAAATTAGCAAGTTTAGAATTGTCAATATCGGCTTTCCATACATAACTAATTCTATTTTTAAGCTGACACACCTACATGTAAAGTATGGACAAACATCAAAACAACGAAGTAACTGGATTATTTTGCGAGTGTATCTCTCTACTCATAAAGCAACACGAACCAACTCATATCGTTTTCAGCTTAATAAGACAAAAGTTCCTTCTTTTTGTGAAGTATTTAAACGAGTTATCAAAAGGAGAAGGTATGGTAGCTCAAACAGGAAGTTCATTCGATGATTTACATTTAAGCCGAATATTTGAAGATTCACATGGGTGTCACAAATTTTATCCTCCTATTGACTTTGACTTCATGATGACTTATGTGAACTATGTTATACAAGATGAAACAGACAAACCAAAAAATGAAAATGACTTCAATGACCTTCGAAAGGCAGTGCACACTTTTGGAATCATGATAGCTGGTGCAAATCCAGGCTATGTAAAAATATTAATAACAAATTTTGGACGAGCAATACTTGAAAGCAAAAAGGAAAAGTGTGACTTTAACCAACATATAACAGTAGAAGGATTTCTTCCAAACAATATATTTAGAATGAAAGTTATCCCTGAGCAAATGGAAGACGAAGAAATTCTCTATAAGAGACAAAAGTCAACGTATACAGTTTCTGGTCCTGCATTATCGGACTTAGAGCATGAGCCTGAAGGTTATACATATGATTTTGTCCATGCGTTTCCATGTTCATCTTGGCCAAGTATTGCATTGAATTGGATAAAAAGACATAAGCCAGGTGAATGGCCGAATCAGGAACTGATTGAAGATATTGTTCAAGGTATACTGTTTTGATCTATGTCGAATTTAGAGGAAAAACCCTTCATGATCAACGAAAAGACATTTACCATTTATATTTTGTTGTGAATGTAATGAATATGTATTTCAGTTTTACCGTTAGGAAAAGTATCATCTCTCCCAGATCCTCAATTGAAGATGTAAAAAAGTAGACGTCAGTTTTTCTGTCTGGATATTTTGTATTTCTTTTTTTAAACTTCCCCGGTTCACTGATCTAACCCGAATGTTCCTGAATTCGAATAAGTCCAAAACCAGATTTTGACATGCGCATCAATTAATATACTAATTGTCTTCCTTGACTTCTCTAGAAAATCAAAGATCGATCTATAGTGCCAAATTTCTCGTAAAGGGTAGTAACCTTTTATCGTCCTATCTGTGACCCAAAATGTCCGAAAAAAAACGCAATCGCAAACCAACAAAGAGTCACCAATGAGTCTAGCCGGGAAATGATCGCAACTGGCAAGAGGATGGGAGTCATGGTCAAGGGCAAATATAAAACAACCTAAAACAAATAAATATTTAAGCAATCTAATAGAACATAAACAATAATATCATGTTCGACAACTTAAGGTTAACATCGACCATTAACTAAAAGCGATTAGGGTTTACAATTGGTATACAGTGGATTGGGATTCGTATTTTGTTACCTTTGACACTATTAAACAAAACCCATTTTGGTCACTTTGTCGCAGACATTTAATTAAAATTCAATTGACAAAAAAACAATCAGTACACATGCACTTACACGTAGATTGGTTCTGGACAGTTTATTAGCTTGACGATAAAATTACAAAGGTTGCAGTGAAACGCAATAGTATCGAGCAAAAATGTAAATTTTTCATTGTCTCAAATCATACATTTAAATATTTTTCATCTCAATTTTAGACGGATGCGCAGTTGTACCAGTTGGGCACCATCTTAGCGAGGAAGCCAACCTAGAGTGGAGAGTGTCCTTCAACTCTGCCGAGAGAAAACTCTCCGCTTCTCTTCTACCGTGTCAGAAATCGTGTTATTCGATTTTAAAACTTCTTTTAAAAGCAGGATTATCTGCGACAAGTATTTTGACATCTTACCACGTAAAGAATATGATGTTTTGGTTTTGTGAACAAATGTACGGACCAGCTGATTGGTCCGAAAATACGATTGGTGAAAGAATGATTGAACTTTTAGACTATATTATAAAGGCTCTTGATCACCACAGTATACCAAATTACTTTGTACCTCCTAACAATCTAATTTCACACAGAGAAAATGGTGCTATAGACGCCACTAAGAAGGAAATCTCAATCATCAAGGAAAATATATTTCAGACAATTAGTCTGGTATGCTCCAAGCTTAAAGTCTTTGAGGAAATGAGCGGACTATCAAATAAAACTGAACTACACCAAATGTTAACTATATATACTGCTTTTGTGCAAACTCTCTACAAAGTTGGGATTTTAAATTTATCAACGGCTATAGACACCGAATGTTTCCAAAAAATTGTTGCGTTAAACAAATGCATGAAGCCCTACATCAAGACTGCCTCAGCAACCTTTTCTGCCGTCAGTATACCGGAGCTATTAAAACCATTAGCCAAACTCCATATGCAGACAGGAGATGCAGACAAAGCTCTTCGCCTAAACCAAATAATGATTGAAGATGATTTCAAACTTGTCAAAGAGTATTATCCCGAGATTTTTTCAAACATTGCGTGTTTATTCAGTTATAAGTATCAAACATGTACGGAGACGGAATCAAAGAAACTATATTTTAATGAGGCAATGGCAAATTTTGACATTGCTAATAGTTTGATAACAAATTCGCCTAGCTTGTATTTTTCTTTTGGAAATTTTCTTTTTACGTCGAAGTCATCATTAAATGAAGTAATATCTCATCTAGAAAAAGCCTGTACTATTTCACAACCTCGTCCGGATGACGAAGTGTTGATGCAAATAGACATATATGAAAGCGGAACTCAGAGTAAAAGTCAAAACATGTATGTTGACGGACGAATAGCAGCCCTTTATTTACTTACGTGTATTTACCTTGATACGTGTGACATTTACAAGGCAAGAAAGTGTACACTGAGAATACAAAAATATGTAGACACTGCTATTCTCACTCAAAAATGGTCAGCACATCAAATACTTGCAGTTTCACTCAGAAAAAATGGTCTTTATGAAAAGGCCGATATTACTTTTTCTGACGCCAAGAAATTTATGCCTTTCAAGACCTAACTAACTGAATTGCTCAATTTTAGAAATCATTAAAGGGTGATATTCTTAGATGTACATGTAACCAAATAAAATTATCACCATTTCCCTTCTATTCTGAATCTATCTTATTCTCCGATCTCATTTTAATTTTCCAAGGTTATCTAAAGGAACTGTATCATCCCTTCCGCTATTCATCACAAGAGTTAAATTGGGTATAGAAATATGGTCAAATGGACTGCTATCCTACAAGCAAACCAATGCTTAAAAGGAGCGTCTCGTTTGACTGAGCGGGATGTATAAATACACAGGCGCGTCCACTTGAAATGGGGACATTGAATCAGGTGCTTCGATCAGGGAGAGTACAAGGTTTTCTTCACGTTAAAAAAAACATTGGAACAACTATGAGGGGTACGAATGTGACCTGTTGCAAGACAAAAGAGGTAAGGTAAATTTCCACAGAATTTATTTCACGCGAAGACCACTTTCTTTAAGTCCTTCAATCTTTTAGAAAATTCACGGCAGCAATGCTTCGTGTGTATTGTCTAGATGAAGACATTCTTAATCGACACCCGCATTCTATCGAAAATAAAGCTATGTTATGTCTTTCGGATAAGTTACTTTGGTTAGGGATACTAGTATCCTTAGATGCAATTTATTTGCAAAAATAATATATTGACGTATTGTTTCAAAATTATCTTCGGCAGAGCATTTTTATTTTATGGATATATGTAGACTCTAATATTCTCAAAATTTCAATTTCAACAACCTGATTTTGACCCTGCCAATGAATAAATACTAGAGAACTTATACTAGAGCCCTAATACTTTCAATTCGTATCCACCATATCCTCTTTTCGTGTGGGAGTCTAAATTTTCCGTCCTTTCCTGTAATCTAAGTGTAATAAACAAGTGAGGATCACCCTCGTTATAAAGTTAATTTTTAATTTTGCTAAGTTTGGTTATGTCCGTATAGAATAATTTGATCGCTACAAACTAAACAATACAATGCAATACCATGATATCAATAGTTGTTCGCAGTTATGAAATTAACCTAAGACTACCCATATTAAATTATGGTGTTCTACATCCTTATATCGAGCTACATACTTGATTTCAAAGATAAAAGAATACTAAAATTTGGAATCATTTTATAGTGAAAATATTTTTTTTTTAATTTAAGAATTCTGACTTTTTCTTAATAAATGTACATCTTCGCATAAAGTAAGATAGTTTCACTTACTCTACTTAAAATCATCAGACTAGAGCTTGAACAATTTTCTAATTTATTAACTGGTGTTTTGCTGAAACTAGCAATAGTGGGTTAACTTGTACGTTGCTGTCCTACTGAAGTACACAAAATCTAAATTTATTCATTTGAAACATTCATATGCATATCATTATCAAATTTAACCAGTTCAACACATTTCTGCTTACAAGGAAGCTAACGACCTATGTGTTCCAAATTGTAAACGTGGAAGTTATCCCTTCGTAAGTTTTAAAGAGTGTCATCCGAGTTGGTTGACCGTTATGGAATATCTGTCTCACTGATAACCATGGATATGCTCCAGTTGTCCTCTTTTCTTCGATTGGGACATCGTCGTATGCTAATTATCACCAACTTTCTACTTAACATGAGCAACATAATGATAGCCACATCTACAGCAAGGTCTGCTTTCCCTTTCGACGCATCTGAGATCCCTCCGAACAAGACACAACCATCTCGTGAAACAATAGAAAATAGCAGAAATTCGTTCACAGAAATTGTGTGGGGTTAATTTGAAAATTGATACATATTTAAAATGGTTTTGACTGTTTATAAAACTAAAGCATTATATGAAATTCGTTTTATTTCAAAAATGGCATTTGAAGATGGCATATCATTTTTTTCTTTTTATGAACAAATTTGAATTTCAAATTAAAATGTAATAACTTGATCCCTTAGATTTTTAACTTGTAAATATTTTTAACTGAACATAAAACCGTATAAACAACAATCATAATCGGAAACTATATTTATATGTTTTTTCTTTTTAAGCTTAATCAAAGTTAAATATCCTTAAACAAATGATGTATGCTCTGATTTAGTAAGCGTAAGTTGAGGTAGTGCCTATTTCCCCGTTTAACTCACAGGGTCCGAATCCGAAAGCTGTTGAACGTTGAATTAATATATACCTAAACGATTTCTCAACAATTTTATATTAGTCCATAAAACAAAAAGTTATTCATCGCTAAACATTGCTGGTGAAGGCTCTTTTTTAAACACTGTCTCAAATTTTACATATTTATTTGTAATATATTGCACAAAAGAACATTTATAGCCGACCATACGGTATGGGTTTTTCTCATTGTTGAAGGCCGTACGGTTGCCTAAAATTGCTTACATTAACTTCATTTGAACTTTATTTTTATATAGTAAACTAACATGATTTTTTTTAACCTGAGGGACAATACATGGCTTTTCCTCTGATAGAATTTTGGTTTTGGTAAAGAATGCCTTATTAGAATAATTGTTTTGCAAAATAAACTCAATAGATTTAAGAATAGCCTTTGTATGAAATGAAATAAAACGAAATTGACCCTATCTCTTTAGTTTTCTACCTTTAAAAAAATCTGAAATATTTACAGAATATAATACGTGTAAATTTCTGCATGTATTGTTGTTGGTATCTATCAAGTGGTTTTTCATTCCAAGGTAATATTTTAGCCATACACTTGTATTCATAACAGTAAATCAGTAAATACGCGCCAACAAAATTTCAGTCCCCATCGGCATACAAGTTATTGCATGGACCTGGACCGTATATAATACATAAAAAAGTCGTGTAGATGTAAAACTAAATTGGTTAAGGTTTTAGTGCAATTTTGGAATTCATATACAGTGGGAAGTTTGTGGTGTCCAGTAGCAGCTTTTAGTTTAACCAGGCTTATAAAATGAATCCTGAAAATTTGAGAAGCCAAAATAAAGATCATTGTATGAATCGTTAGATTTTTTTTATCATAATTGGTAATATATTATTTTTATGTTTACATCACAGACGCTTTTGTTCTGATGGAAATGCCTCTATTGTTCATCTGTATCAAAATTACGATAGTCCAATAGTAATCACGTAGTTACACATACATGTAATCCATGTCATCTGATTACGATAGTCCAATAGTAATCACGTAGTTACACATACATGTAATCCATGTCATCTGATTACGATAGTCCAATAGTAATCACGTAGTTACACATACATGTAATCCATGTCATCTGATTACGATAGTCCAATAGTAATCACGTAGTTACACATACATGTAATCCATGTCATCTGATTACGATAGTCCAATAGTAATGACGTAGTTACACATACATGTAATCCATGTCATCTGATTACGATAGTCCAATAGTAATCACGTAGTTACACATACATGTTATCCATGTCATCTGATTACGATAGTGTAACATGTTATCCATGTCATCTGATTACGATAGTCCAATAGTAATCACGTAGTTACACATACATGTAATCCATGTCATCTGATTACGATAGTCCAATAGTAATCACGTAGTTACACATACATGTTATCCATGTCATCTGATTACGATAGTCCAATAGTAATCACGTAGTTACACATACATGTAATCCATGTCATCTGATTACGATAGTCCAATAGTAATCACGTAGTTACACATACATGTAATCCATGTCATCTGATTACGATAGTCCAATAGTAATCACGTAGTTACACATACATGTTATCCATGTCATCTGATTACGATAGTCCAATAGTAATCACGTAGTTACACATACATGTTATCCATGTCATCTGATTACGATAGTCCAATAGTAATCACGTAGTTACACATACATGTAATCCATGTCATCTGATTACGATAGTCCAATAGTAATCACGTAGTTACACATACATGTAATCCATGTCATCTGATTACGATAGTCCAATAGTAATCACGTAGTTACACATACATGTAATCCATGTCATCTGATTACGATAGTCCAATAGTAATCACGTAGTTACACATACATGTAATCCATGTCATCTGATTACGATAGTCCAATAGTAATCACGTAGTTACACATACATGTAATCCATGTCATCTGATTGGGTTTACGATATCTTTATATGAAAAAAACAGACTATTAGACAGAAATAACAAGAGCTGTGCTACTAAAAGAATCTAATCAAGTTAAAAGCCGGAAACAAGACTGAAAATTATGCATAGTAAATGAGCCGTCTCAGTAAAAATAATTAACACCAATGCAATCAATATAAATAACAAAACATTTATTAAAAATTCAGAAGGAAAGTTTGTCGATATATAGATTTTCATTTCTGTATTATTAACAGATTATGTAAATGCAAAAACCCATTTTACTTTTACTTAAAACATATAAAGGTTGGATTAAGATATTTCGATAAAATTGATTGAGATCTTTATTTGATGGAAGACGGAAAAAAGAAATATAATGCAATAGCAAAATACGATTACAAAAAATAGACACGTCACTAATGAAGCATTTACAAATGCTGTCCAAAGGAAGGAATGAGGACACGTTACTAATGAAGCATTTACAAATGCTGTCCAAAGGAAGGAATGAGGACACGTCACTAATGAAGCATTTACAAATGCTGTCCAAAGGAAGGAATGAGGACACGTCACTAATGAAGCATTTACAAATGCTGCCCAAAGGAAGGAATGAGGACACGTCACTAATGAAGCATTTACAAATGCTGTCCAAAGGAAGGAATGAGGTTACGTCACTAATGAAGCATTTACAAATGCTGCCCAAAGGAAGGAATGAGGACACGTCACTAATGAAGCATTTACAAATGCTGTCCAAAGGAAGGAATGAGGTCACGTCACTAATGAAGCATTTACAAATGCTGTCCAAAGGAAGGAATGAGGTTACGTCACTAATGAAGCATTTACAAATGCTGTCCAAAGGAAGGAATGAAGACACGTCACTAATGAAGCATTTACAAATACTGTCCAAAAGAAGGAATGAGGACACGTCACTAATGAAGCATTTACAAATGCTGTCCAAAGGAAGGAATGAGGTCACGTCACTAATGAAGCATTTACAAATGCTGTCCAAAGGAAGGAATGAGG